CAGGAATTTGAAAAGCCGGCATTGGACGAAAATTAAGTGCACTGGCACGTTCAAAACATTATTTTTACGCCATTATTTTTCTTTTAGAAATGCGGACTACCCCAAAAGCGGTTTTGTTCGCGACATTGCCGAGCTTTCATGTCCAAGCATTCTTCAGGGAGTCTATCGGTAGGGAAAAAATTTGCATTTCTTGGGACTGCAGAAGTTTGCAGGAAGGTGTAAATAATACTCTGTAACCTAAAATATGCAGTTTGCAAAATACAGTGTAGCAGCGCAGGCCGGCAGCAATCATTTAGGAAGTACAGAGGTTCTAAAGCGGTCTAGCAGAGGTCATTCAGGTAAAAGTTAAGACTCGAGGTCCCAGGTAGGCTAGCAGAGAGCCTTTAGGAAATAAGCCGAGGCGGGGTAGGCTAGCAGAGGTCCTTTTTATTTTACTACGCTATCGATAAACACTTGCAGAAGCCTTGCTGTAACACCAGCATTAATGGTACGTCATTAGGTGTAAAACTTCCTAGATTTTTTAGAAATGGTCATTTTTGAGTACATTAAAATCAAGCTTTTGGTTTGAAAATTGGTTGGCCTTACCATTAACGCATTATATATAAGATTATATTATAGGAAGTAGTACTATTTATAGGTATCAATGCGGCGCATGCCTATTAAAATTCGTTAGTCTCTTCCGGGCGGCAATGCATATGCCACCGCGTACATCGCATTAACATCGCATACAACCCCGATTGACTTAATACCCCGAATTTTTAAGTATATTTATACCACGATCTTCTTTGCTATACTATAATATATCATTGAAATTTCTAGAAGGATAACAAAGATGAGAAGAAAGAGTCCTACAAGTTACTCACCATGATCTACTTCCCGGCGGCTGTTGAAGCCGTTCAGGAGTCAATTGCGGCCTTAACCTTGCTTTCTTGGGTAAGTTTTTAACTAGCTTCCTGATTTCTCGATATTTTAGAAACAAAGGGGCTACTGGCGTTGTCTGCGGAAGTTGGTGACCTGTCCAGGTGTGCAAAAATGACAATACCATTGGGGACGAAAGCAGGAATGATACCCCACGTCTTCACCCATATGAGCCAAGCATTCAAAAATGCAGGCTGTGTCGGGTTTTGTTGATAGTTGGTTGAGGGCTTATAAGGCTTTTTGAAGCACAGCTCGGGCTTAGCAGGCTTGGTGGGCTTGGCAGGCTTAGCCAGGCTTGGCTTAGGCTTAGCTTAGGCTGCAGGCTTGGCAGGCGGCTTGGGCAGCTGGAGGCTAGCTTGGGCTGGCCTTGTGACCCACAGCTTGGGCAGCAGGCCCAACTTGGGCTTGGCTTGAGCTGGCGCAGGCTTGGCAGGCAGCTTGGAAGCAGCTTAGGCTTAGCAGGCAGCTTGGAAGCAGCAGGCTTAGCAGGCTTAAGCTGCGGCTTAGCTTAAGGCTCTAGCAGGCAGTTCTTTGGACCCCGATGACTTAAGTCTGAAACCCATATTTCTTTAGTTTACCTGGCCTCTCCATCTTGTTATTCGAAACCACATTGCCAACAAGCACCGAAGGTGCCTTTTGAACGTGACAATCGGGGTTGAAATAACAAGTAGAAAGTCAAAGTAGGCAAGAATTATAAAATAACTTTTAGCACTCAGAAGCCTTCTGGACGAGCTGAGAATCGCTCCGCCCGTACGCGATCCAGCGGGCTGGACGAAGCTGGTTGAGCTCGAACAGCGGTAAAAGCTGCTTTAACCTTTCCAAGTCTTCTCCTTTTTTTGGATACGAAAGTGAATTTTAACATTTGGTCTTTAGGGAAAAGTCGGGTGAGTGTCGGCCAGCAAAGAGAGGCCGATCTTGAAGCAGCCGCAGCTAAATTTGGCCGCAGTCGTATCTCGAAGCGGGAAAAGCGGAAGAAATGGAGGCGGAAAAGGTAATTTTACTAGATATATAATTTATACATATTTTTGTGTATTATTTAAAAAAATTTTAAAAATAGGGTAGATACGTCATCTGGAATGATAGTAACTTTTCCAATTTTTAGCGAGCTCGCCTGAACTTCCCGATGTTACTACGGAAACTGCAGAGGAATTACGCTTTCAGCCTGCAGTCGCGCCTGGGGTCGTGCCGGTGGGGTTCCCAGCTATGCAGGTAATATTGGTTTTTTAGGAAAGTTACTTTGAAAAAAGCAGCTGCTTAAAAATTATGATTTTTACAAAGTTTTACCCCGAAATAACAAGTCCAAACGTCATTCCGTATAAGTTACATCATACACTGTTGACGAAAACGTCAAAAAACCTATAGATTTTCAAAGCAAATTTTTTCAAGCGACGATTTTGAAGATAGGACTTTTCGAAGTCAAAGTCGTGAACTGCATTTTTTAACTGATTATATTTTCTAGAATCCGGCTCTGATGTCTCCAAACTACTTCTCAGCAATGATGTACCCACAAATCCAAGCTTATATGCAGCAGCAATTGGCCATGGCTTTTGCCGCGGGAGCCATGGTAAGTTCAAAGCGACAAGCAAAGAATGGTTACAGATTTTACGGTTTATGGATACCTTCCTTTCCGTCTTAAGTCACGTATTATAAAGCGTTTTTCAGATGCCACTCGCATTCCCCTCGTTCACCCCCAACTTCCCGTTCCTCAACCCGCTCGCCTACCTCAATCAACACAGACCCCAAGGACCGGCGTAGCCAATCCGTTTTTGGCGCTGATTACTAATTTATTTTTTTGCGAATTAAATAGTTCCATTTTTTTGCCAGTACGGTTGCAATCACGGCGTAGCAATAAAACAATGTCACCAGGGTTTTTACGGTATTATGCTACGTCAAATTTTTATGATAACAAAGATCAGAGGAGGTCAATAAGTTTATGTTTATTTAAGGTATCCGAATTATGTCTATTTTTCGAGATTCGGGACATTCCGAAAATGCCATAGAAAAGAGGGTCCAAAAATCGCATGGCAATTAATTTTTGCCCGCAACGATGTAGTTTAGAAGGTATATGATATAAAGGGGAATGTCAAAATCCCGACAAGCCAAAATCTGGACAGCCAAAGGCAGAATTGGACTAGTTTTTTGACAGTGCCATTCGATAGAGCGTCAAAAAATAAGCCAAGAAGCTTTCAAAAAAAAAACTATAATGCAAAGTTATCTTGATAATACTAACGTTTCAAAACCAATCTCATCCCAAAAATTTTATTTCTTTTCACCCGAGTTTTTCCGGCCCGCGGGCCCATTAGAGACGCCAAGTCGATGGTGGGGTGGTGCTTTATTTTCCGGGCGGCTTTTCGGGCTGTTTTTATGGGCTTTGATGGAAATACCCCCACGGCACATCCATCAGACCCCACTGGGGGGTAGAAGGGCCCCAATTGGGCCACACCCTCACACATGGCAGGGGGGAGGACACATCCAATTCATGAAAATTGGACGCTCTATCTGGGGGTGGAACATGTTTTTTGGAGGAGATGAGGGTAGAAATAAAGCTCCAGTTATAATTATTAATCAATCAAATGTATCGAAGCTGATAACAATAATTATTAATTAATCACAAAACTTAATACGACCGGTCTTTTCTATACAGGGTATTTGGCATTCTCGGGTTGATGGGGGATCGCGGAGAGAAATCATCTTTTTCCCTAGCATCCAGTTTTTCTAATATAAATAGAAGAAGTGGACAGTGGCAGTGAAGCTTAAAGAACCAGCCACATCAGGGCTTTTCAGGCAATAAAAGATTGAATTCCGGAATTCCCGCAAAATTCGGCCATAAACACCGGTTTGAAACAATCAGAAAATTTTCCCCAAAGCCAAAAAGCCCTTCTAGGGGTTCAGGGAAAACTGAAAAACGAGACGCGCGCGCCCCCACTTTGGCGCGCCGGGTGGTGGGGGCTTTGGGGGAGTGTTTGGGCCCTTCCTTTGTGGCCCATAGGGGCCCTCGATTGGGCCCACTGGCCCTTCCTCGGTCTCTCCGTTGAGGGGCTACGGATGGACAGACAAGAGGAGGAGGAGGAGGACGAGGAAGAGGAGCAAGAGGAGGAGGAACAAGCCGAAGAAGACGACGGATTAGGGCACACACACGAAAACCCCACACCACCAACCAACATTCCGGCCATCAACTGGGAAATACTAGCAATCGGATGTTGCAGGGTCACCAAAGATGGGAGAGGATTCGGAGTTTGGGTGTTCGTTTCCGGAGCGTTTTAGGGTTTTGATCGAGTTGAAGCCGGAAGCCGGAAAGCCCGAAGCCACCTCCTTCAGGCCGGCTTGAACACGCTTATCTAGCTATCCGGTATTTTCCGGATAACCCGTTTTCAGGCAATTCGAGGCTTACTCTGGAGACCTTCCTGGAGACCCGGTTCTCGGCGCAGTTCAGGCCGCTTCCGGTTGGTACGGCGGTTTTCCGTGCTCCCGGTCGAGTGAAACCGCCCGAAATTTCTGCGAATTTAGGCCAAAGCTAATCTCCGAAATTTTCCGGAACCCCCGGTCGCACGAAATGACGTGGGCCGGACTGTAAGGGATGTCAGACTCTTCCGCCTCCGGTTCAGCCCAATTTTTGGGCCACCGAGAAAAGTTATGTCGATGTTTTTGGAAGTTCCGGTTGATCCTGCTTTCGGGAAATTCAGACCGGCTGAGGCTTTTGAAGAATTCGCCAGAAGGAGTTGAGCCCAGTTGACTTCCGGTTGACCGAATTTCTTTGCGATCAAAGCCAGCCTGCAACCGTTGGCAAGAATTTGCCGGCGCTTCCGGTTGATTCGATCGTGTTTCTTCCGATGGGCCTGAAGGAGTTGGTCTGCATTAACCATAATTTCGAGTTGACCTGTTTGAAACGTGATTTCCGGACTAGAACAGCCTGAATTCTCCGTGTTTCCGGTAAGTTCAGGCCTAAAGCTTACAACAACCGTTCTGATGAAATAAGCTGAATTTCCGGAATCCCGGATTCATACAAGGGAATATATATCATTCCGGTAAAAAGCCTTAAAACGGGGTTTCTTATGGACGCCTTTCGCAATCACTAACCTCCCAAAAACGGCAAATTCCTTTTTTATACCCCCAATCCGTCTAGTGAAAAGGGGGGCCCTCGGTGGGCCCTGATGGATGGGTTGGGTTTAGGGTTTTCAGGGGCCCCTGAAAAATACCCAACTTGTGTCAAGTTTGGAATAGAAAAGTAAAGTAAAGCTGGGGGCGGGGGAACGTTTCAAGGGCTTTCGAAGGTTCGGAAACCAGAAAAATAGTAGAAAATCGTCATTTTTTTGTGTAAAATTTAATAGGATGAGGAGCACAAGTTTAGCTGCTGCCCAAACAAGAAATCCGCTCAAGAAAGCACCCACTTTAAACTACGAGAAAAATGCTAAAAAAGGTATATAACGCTTGAAAAAACGCCTTTTATTGTCACGCGTTTGAGCACAAGGGCCCAGATGCGGGCCACCACGAAAATGGAATTAGCCGAGTTGGACGCGACACACAAACTGACAGACAGACAGAGACACAAACAGAGGAAACGGGCCAGGGCGGCTGATTGGGGCCCTGGCCCAGAGTGTCGGGCGTCAATTCCTCCAAAAAAATGCAATTGGAATTGGGGTTGGATGAGGAGTGCAATGAGGAACGGAATGGAATCGAGCTGCTCGACTTTAAAGGCACAGAGAAGCCTTGATTGCTTGATTGCTTTAAGTCCAGATCTTGCCGCATCGCAAGACGCAACCCCAGCTGTTCCCGGTCGGCGCAATGGACCCGGAGCTACGCGCAAAAGCAGGTCTTGCTCAAAAAATCCTTAACGTCTCCAGAAATGCTTCCGCATGGCGGTTTTTGGGCGACCGCAAAAAGCAACGCTCACGCCAAGTGGTACGGTAAAGGCGTCGTTTACGCATACGCATTACGCACTACGCAATGCAAGCACCGGCCGGTGCGTCGCGTCTCCCGGAGCGAAAGACGAGAGAGAGAGAGAGAGAGAGAGAGAGAGAGAGAGAGTGAGAGCGACCGCGAAAGAACTAGGGTGAGTGAGCGAGTACGAGTGTGAGTGAGAGTGAGCGTGAGAGACAGAAAGGGGGAGAGAGACAGAGTGGTAGAAAGAACGAGAGAGTGCGTGAGAGTCTGTGAGAGAGGGACTGCGAGAGAACGAGGGTGAGTGAGAGTGCGCGTGAGAGAGAGAGAAAGGGAGAGAGACAGAGTGAAAGAGAGAACGAGAGACCGTGCGAAACTATAAAGCCAAAACTTGTAAGCTCATCCAAACGATGCTATAAATTTTATTGACATCAAAAAGAATTCAAACCCCTAAAAGAGATAGATGCCCCATGTTATAGCTAAAATCCTACCCGTTTTTCGAAAGCTATACCAACAGCGCGAAACGGCCTTTGGAAGAGGTCCTTTGGAGGGATGGGCCCCTGGGTGGAGATTTGTCAGCCGGTGACCGATCTTCCCCCATGGGATTTGGAGATTCCAAGGCGGGAAGAAGCAGCCAAAAGCCTTGGAGCTGCTGACCGAAAAATAAGGAGGGAGGGTTGATGTCTGGGGCATCAGATAAAACCAAAAAAAGGAGTGCCGATACCTTGAAAAAAAGCAAAATAAATGGTCGAGGGATCGCGATTTCGCTGTATTTTTTCCTGTTTTTCAGTTGAAAATAGTTAAAATAAAAGAATATGTTACATTTTGCTCTAAAATCCCCTCAAACTGCTCAAGTTTTTGCACGCTACGTGACGCTGCGGTATTGGGCGTTTGGGCCCGAATTTTAAAGGCATTCGTAAGGTTCTTGGATACCTTGCTAATTGTGAGATATTCCAGACTAGTTTTTATGCTTTTTTACGATGGTCTAAATAATATACATCAAAGATCGCAATTCATATCTAAAAAACCAGTCAAAAAATTAGTTCTTTTTTGTTTTACCAACGTTTTCGGCTTGAATTTAAAAGTAATCGGACTTCTAGATTGATTTCTGGTATTTTTTGTGTAGGTTTTAATCCTTTTGCCTGAGATACCACTAAAAATCACCCGCTCTACCGATTTCCATGACAAAACACTTTACAAACCTTACCTTGACCCTCCTTTATCCTCCCTCCACCAAAAGCATGTTCGCATAATTGTTGGGTTTAGGGCTTCGAGAGGGACAAGGATAAGAAATGTCCATTGTGCTCTTTCTCTCGCTCTCTCTCTCTCTCTCTCTCTCTCTCTCTCTCTCTCCCCTCTCGAACAGTACTCGTTTGGCCTTTTGACAGGTGATGGGTGCAAGGGGGTGTCCAGGGGTGTGTCTCGTACAAAAGGCACCCTCTCCAGCCAATGTCCCATACAAAGCTCCGCCCCCCCCCCCATTTCGACACCTGGGTGGTTGTATACCGGCCGCCATTCTGTAGCCCCTGGGGGTACAATTGTGACAAGTGTTTGCCATTTCAACCCCTCCAAACTATTCAGCCCCGCCGCTTGACACGTTTTCCGTTTCGCTCCGTTTTACTGTGTGGATTTTCAAGGGCGGTGGAGGGTTAGTTCTCGAATTTGAATTTTGGACGTTGCTTGGGTCGGGTTAGAAATTTTTGTATTATGATAGGGACAGTTGGGGACTGGATATCCATATCATTCTTTCTCTCTGGCTCTCTCTTTCTCTTCCTCTCTCTCTCTCTCTCTCTCTCTCTCTCTCTCTCGCTCTCTCTCTCTCTCTATCTTTCTCTCTATTACTCTCTCTCTCTCTGTCTATTTCTCTCGCACTCTAGCGCTTTCTGTATCTGTGTGACTCTAAATTTTTGCGACATAAATCTGGTTATCTATGTCTCTCGCTATCCCTGTATCTCTCGCTCTCTCTCTCTCTCTCGCTCTCTCGCTTTAAAGATTACTGCAAATTCAACCTTAGACATATTACCGTGCCCATACGGCCCCAACCTACTATCTTTCGTTCACTTTCTCCAGCTCTCTCTCTCTCTCACTCGCTCTATCTCTCTCGCGCTCTGCCTCTCTCTGTTTCTTTCTGGCTATCGTTTTCTATCGATAATTTCAAAGTAGTCGCAGTTTTTCACCAATTTTAGACTAAGCAACCATCAGTCCTGAACTTTAAAAATTCTGGGTATACTGAAAGAGTATCTGCTATGGATTAGCCTTCCCGGTCTCTTTAAAAACCCCAGCTGGCTGCTGTACAAAACGGGGGCTTGGGCCCCCGCGCGGCCGGTGCCCTTTTGAGGTGTATGCCATTGTGGGTGAAGGTCAAATCGTTCTCTCTCTCTCGCTCTCTCTCTCTCTCTCTCTCTCTCTCTCTCGCTTCCTCCCCCCAGGAGATACATTGTGTCCCATCCCCCCAAATTGCACTTCTGACCCACATCTCGAACACACACAGACAACAACCTGGGTTCGTTGCTTGTATGACCCAAGGTGAGAGAGAGAGGGAGAGAGAGAGAGAGAGATACAGAGAGGAAGGGAGCAAGACATATACCCGTGTCTTCCTCGACTTTTTGTGAGTTCCGAACTCATACAGAAGACACCCGTCTGCCCCCACCCCTGGCACAACACCGTACCGTCGAGTCAAGGGCGTTCTCTGGGAAGTTCGGGGTTAGGTTGGACACTAACAAGGGGTGCTCACGTTGAGCTCATGGTTTTAAAGGGATCAAACTGACTATTTGTCTCTAGCTGACTCTCTTTAGATTTAGCTCTCTCTCTCGCTCGCTCTCTCTTTCGATCTCTCGCTCGCTCTCTCTCTCTCTCTCTCTCTCTCATGCTCTCTCTCAGCTCACTCTTCTGGCTCTCTCTGGTCCCTCTCTCTTCCTCGCTCTCTCTCGCTCAGTTTCTCTCTCGCGCGCTCTCTCTCTGCCGCCTTGTTTTGAGTATATAATTGTTCCTCCCCCAGCTTCATCACACCCTCCTCCACTCTACCGTTCTCGACTCAAGGAGTCGGGGTGGATCCCGGGGCGTTCCATTAGACGACGTAGAGGCATATGCGTGGAAAACCCGAGCTAAACTAGTTTCCAGCTGTCTATAGGTAGATTTTTGGATTCGGGTCGGTGGCAACAGTCAAGTCTGTATTTTGCGTGTTTTCATGCTCAGAGCCTCACTCTCCCCGGTGTTAAAGGGATTAGCATCTTATGGATCTTCGCGTGTTTTTTTAAAGGGACGGAGAACCGATCCAGAGGAATTTTACAGCGTTGTTATGCCTTGCCAGTTTCCAAAGGGGTTCGGAAGGCTAGAACTCTTGCGAATCTAACGTTTTTTGTGGATTTATTTGGTTTTTGGAAGAGGAAGCGAGAGAGCGAGAGCGAGACAGACAGACAGAGGAATAGAGAGAGAGAGAGAGAGAGAGAGAGAGAGAGGAGGAGAGAGAGAGGAGAGAGAGAGAGATAGCCTGCGTTAGAAAACCAACACGAAAAATTGGCTTTACAAGGTCGAACACACGCCTCCCGCTGGCTCGAGACTCCCCCAACTTTCATAATTGGGGGTGCACCCGGGAGGGGGTTTGAAGTAGGGCACACGCGCTTGGAAAGCTCCTTCTGAACTTCTTGTGAAAGTTGCAGCCATTTTTTTTGCGGTTCTAAGCATTGATTTAATGTTCGAAGCTCCAGCCCGAGCACAATCTAAGGCGAAGCCTAAGCAGAAGCCCAAGTCTAAGAACACACCTAGGCCCAACCCTCTCGCAACTTTCCAGACACCAAAATTTCACTCCTTCAAAAGCTTAGGATTTTCCTTTTCCCATAACCATCGCGTTCTGCCACCGCCCTCAATCCCAGTTAGCTTAGCTAGGTGGCTCCTCAGAAGAGCTGTAATAGCCACGTCCGGTCCGGATCCGGCAGAAAGGGTAGATGAGGTGTCTTTTCTGGAAGTAAGAGTCCATGTCGCGTCTCTCTCTCTCCGCTACCTGGTCCAGTGGTCATTTTACTGTCCTACCCCATTCCACCTAAAGGGACCGGACAATGCCCATCTCCTTTCCATCCAATTCGAATAGACGCGCTTACGCGCCCCCGCCGGTTATGAAAGTGTGGGGGGAAGGGCGGCTTTACCTGAGTAGGATTAGGCTCTGACGGTGTCTTTTCAGGAGGTAGCGGTTTTTGACTTTCAAATCTTGCTGAATCCTGCTTTCTCTGTCTCTGTCTCTGCCTCTCTCTCTCTTTCTCTCTCGCCCCTCTGTTTCCCTGGTCTTTCAGATAATTTTTTGATCCACAGTTATTCTAGCGTTTATCTTGTTATCTCTTGCTCTCGCTCCCTTACTTTCTCTCGCTCTTTCTCCTTTTCCCTCTCTCGCTCTCTCTTTCACAAAATGTTCTGGAACGAACGGGCCGGAACCAGCTGAACCTGGATGTTTCGATGAGATATTTACACCTGGAGCAGAATACAATTCATTTCGTCTCTCTCTATCTCTCACGCTCTCGCTCTCCTCTCTCTCTCTCTCTCTCTCTCTCTCTCTCTCTCTCTCTCTCTCCTTCAAACCGGGCCATCTGAATATTTGCGATTTCCCTTCAAAATGGTCGTCATCTATGGCTCTCACGGACTATTTGGACTACCTACTTTTCCACACCAGTCCCCACAGCCTCTATTCAAATTTGGCGCATGCCCCTTTGGCGGATGTTCAGCACTCCGTTTCGCTCCCATTTACACCTCCCGGACGGAATTCCGTACGGTTCGGGGAGTGCCCCAAATTTGGGCTGAATGGACTTTCCTTGGCTTTTAGTGGCTGCTAATTTGGATCTTTGGTTTTAATGGGCCTTTAAAGAACTCGGGAGGTCCTTGGAGGGGCCTTAATTCGATATTATCGGATCAAGAGGTCAAATTATCCCTGACTTGTCTCTCTCGCTCTCTCTCCCTCTCTCTCTCCTCTCTCTCTCTCTCTCTCTCTCGCTCTCTCTCTCTGGCTCTCTCTGGCTCTCTCTTTTGTTTTCTCGCTCTCTCTCTTTTGTTTTCTCGCTCTCTCTCGTTCTCTCGCTCTTTCTCTCTCTATCGCTCTTTCTCTGTCTCTCTATCTCTCGCTCTATGAAATATTTACATCTTCTGGAACTAAAAACTTATTTTCTTTATATATTTTGTTCCACCCTTTTTATTTTTCCACAAGTATTTTTATGCAAATTTATAGTTTACGTTTCAGCCACTCAAAAAATTCGCCATACTTTCCCCACGCTATCCCCTTTTATTGGGGCTGCTCGGCTCGGCGGGATGAGGACAGTTACGGTATGTCATTTTTGATTTTTTTTGCTTAGCAAATTGGCCCCTCCCTTTAAAGGCGCTTAAAATCTAATTTAATTTTGTCTGGCTTCCGGGACCGTTGAAATACGTTATTTTGAGAATTTAACTTACAGCCCGCCGATCCCTTGCTTTTCCAGACCCTTTAAAACGATTTTTTGCGCTCGATTCGACTCCTACGAGGCGCGCCTAATTCCAAAATTGGCATCCCATCCGGGTCAAATGGGTGGGCGCGAGCGAGCGTTGAAAATGATTCATTTTGTGTGTGGTGGCATGGGGGACAGGTGCGGGTGGTCCACCTGTCTTTTCGACATTTGTCGGCGAGAGAGAGAGAGAGAGAGAGAGAGAGAGAGAGAGAGAGAGAGAAAGAGAGAGAGGGAACGGACAATTTGGCGGACCGGCGAACAGAGGATGGGGCAATTAGCTGCCCATTTCTACAGTGAGCATGGGCAGCTGGGCGGAAGAAGATGTGTGGATAGGATTGGAGTGGACAGCGAGAAGAACAGATTCGCGCCTCATGGACAAATAGGAAATTATTCCTGTAGGGATAGGGGCTGAAAATGGATCTGAGACTGGCCAATTGATACCTTTTTGGGGATGGAAGTTTTAGGGATTTGGAAATAGGCGATGCTTCTAGGCTTAGGTTTAGGTTCAGACGTAGGCTTAGGCGTCTGCTTAGGCTTAGGCTCAGGCTCAGGCTCAGGCTCAGTCTCAGGCTCAGGCTCATGGATAGGCTTAGGCTTAAGGTTAGGCTTAGGCTACAGGCTAGGCTTAAGGTTAGGCTCCTCTTCTCGGAGCACCATCTCCTTTTCCTGACTGCCGTGTTGCCAGAAGCTCAAAGATCCCCCGACACCGTAATAAAAACCCATCCGCCACTTGGAAATACCTCAAGCAGCCACCGGGATAATTATACGCAGAAGCATCGCTCCCTCTCTCTCTTCACTCTCCCTCTCCAGGTTATAAGGATGGCAACAACCCATGCAACAAGCTTCCAGCCCAGTGCTTCAAGCATCAATCCCCTCGACATCGTACTTGGTGCATCGGTTCGACGCGTACTTTTGCACCCCGCGGAAAAGTTGACCCAATTCTGGCGGGTGTCCCGAGTCTTGGGAGGGGATTCTAGTCTCCCCACACACTTTTATGGGCCACCGCGAACTCTTGACCTTGAGGGGGGGGGGGTCGGGATCGAACCGGAAGGAGGGATTGGAAATTTGGAGATCGAGATTTTAGAATCTAGTTCGGCTTTTAAAGAGCCTAGAAAAAGAGTTAATAATCACCCTTGCGTGGACTAGGTCTCAACAACTACGTGACGCGAACTCTTGACGTCCAACGGAATTTTTGCCTAAGGGAGGGAAAAGGGAGGAATTATGGAAAAAGGGGGGGGGAAGGGAGGGGGGGGGAAGGGAAAAAAAAGGGAAAAAAAAGGCGGGGAAATTGGGGGTTTTTATATATTTTTTTTGGTTTTTTTTGGTTTTTCTTTAAATGGTTAGGGTGTTGGGGAGTAAAAGAAGCCATTTTCCAGCTGTTGCTTCTGCTGCGGACGGCGGTCGCATTTTCCGACATCCACAACTCGGTCATCGGTAAGTGATTTTACACCTCGAATCGGCGCATAATTGGAATTATCTATCGTAATTTAATGCTACAGTAACCTACCACTGCCAAATCGCTTTAATTATCCACTTCAGGTTTACCGCAAATCACTTGCGAACGTGATTACATCAAGTTTGAGGTGCAGACGGAGAAGCCGTTTCGGGGCAAGGTCGGCACTTTTTAATATTGTCAGAGAAAGACAGAGAGAGAGAGAGAGGGAGGGAGAGATGGAGGGAGAGGGAGAGATGAGAGAGCGAGAGAGAGAGAGGGAGAGAGAAAGATCCAATACTCCAGATCCGCCCTAAAAAGTGACCTTGTCTCCCTCGCCACTCTCGGCTGCCTCAACCTATTAAACAAAACAAATGTTTTGCCTCCTCGAATCCCGCATTGTTGGTGTCTCTCTCTCTCTCTCTCTCTTCTCTCTCTCTCTCTCTCTCTCTCTCTCCTCTCGAGGCCATCCCTACATTCAATACAGCCCAGATTGAAGGGCCGCTTCTTATCAAAACCTATTGCCTGCCCCAGCTACCGTAACCCCACCCACTTATAGGTATTTGTCAAGGGCGAGTACACGAATGTCCACTGCTCAAGAACCTACAATCAGGGACGGGTGGTGCAGGATGGGGGTGAGTTTTTGGCGGTTTAAGGGGCTGGGCAAGGCATGGATATGGATTTTGTTGGCCTTGCATGTCCTTTTCAAGAATCCGCGAAGTCCGAACTCGTGCCAAAATTAGTGCATTACGAAACGATACCCAATTCCAGGCAATACGGGAGGCTCCAAAAACAACAACAACGCCTTCGACACCTCGGGACGAATATCTGCAGGCCGGATAATTGGACCGGATGGACGTGAGATTCCTCTGGACGGCGCGAATCCACAGCGAGAGGCTGAGGATCATAATAGTGGTGGGCCCAGGGGTGCCGGATTTTTTGAGCCGACGACGACACCGCATGGAGGATTTGCCGGTGCTAGTGGACAGGTGAGAGAGAGAGAGAGAGAGAGAGAGAGAGAGAGAGAGAAAGAGAGAGAGCGAGAGAGAGAGCGAGAGCGAGAGAAAACGAAATACTTTATTCCATATTTTTCAGGTCGAAAGTGGTGAAGTCCCGCCCGGCGAGGCCACCACGTTCAACCCCCAACCCGACCCGAACGGCCCCCGACTCCATATTTTCGGCCAAGACCTCCCGAACTCCTCGAACTTGAGCCGCAGATCTGATCTCGGCACCTCGGCCCAACCACCAGGAATCGCGACTGGACCACCTGGGATGAAAATTCCAGTTGGAGGAGCTGGAGGAGATCATACTTCGAATTCTGGCGCTGGATTTGGCGCCGGACATGCTGAAGGAGGTCAAGCCGGACAATCCGGATCAGGATTTGGAGGCGGACATACCGGGGGAGGACAATCTCGACAATCCGGAGGCGGATTTGGGTCCGGAAACTCTGGCGGAAGTGGTTCCAGCGGAAATGCTGGAACAAAATTCGGAAGCGAACAAGCTGGTGGAGGTCAAAACGGAAATTTCGGATCTGGATTTGGCTCCGGAAACGTCGGAAATAATGCCGGATCTGGCGGTCAATTCAATGGAGCTTCCGGAAGCGCTCACGGCGGCAGTTTTGGTTCCGGAAATTCCGGAAATTCGGGATCAAATGGAGGGTTCGATCGAAATTCCGGAGGATTTTTGAGAGGAGGAGGAGGAGGAGCTGATCCCGGAACGGGAAGCAGTTCAAGCGGTTCCGGAAGCGGATTTTCTGGTGGTTCTGCTTCCGATAGTAGTTCAAGCAATTCCGGAAGTCGTTCCGGATCAGGAAATCAAGCCGGAAGTGGATCTAATGGAGGAGGAGGGGGAGCTGATCATGGGTTTGACCGGAATACTCAAAACGGCGCAGCGGGAGGCTCCGGAAACTCCGGGAGTTCCGGAGGCGTCATCTGGTCAGATAGAAGCTCTGGATCCGGAAGCTCCGGATCAGGATCGTCCGGAAGCGGAACCGGTGCTTCTAACCCTAACGAAATCGACGGTGCTGATCACGAATGGGTCCAAAGTACTCGAGCTCCACGTAAGTATCAAAAATCAAAATTTACATATGTTTTAGCCACATCAGCCGCTCAATTCTTGAATCCCCTGGCTGGAGATGCTCAGGGAAAGGTGGGAAAGCAGTTCAAAAATTTTTGAAGGGACTATGAAGTCTATAGATCTAAATCTATAGAAATTTGCCTACTTTCAGATCTTCCCCTCGCAATGCCCGACAACATGCGCACCATGTGCGGCTTGTGAGCAAGAAGATGAACATAGCTCGAGGGGGCGGAGACAGGTATGTTGATACAAATTTAATAGAAGCATTAAAGTTTTATCTAGTCTGTGAAAATCCAAAGAAAAGAATGAAAAATCGTTTTAGGCCCAAAACTCCGTGAGCCTCCAGGTGCCGCTTGGGGAGTGTCGAGCAAAGAGAGATCGTGTGGTGAGTTAGAGAGCGAGAGAGAGAGAGAGAGAGAGAGAGAGAGCGCGAGAGAAGCAGATATCAGTACTTCCCTTTTAAGGTCACACCTCCCGGCGTATACGTCTCGTTCGTGGCGGTCATCTCCTTCCACGAGAGCTTCATCACCAAGCTCGACCGTGCCTATCATATCCGATGCGCCTATCAGGAATCAAATAAGACTGTCGAGACAAGCATCGATGTCAGGTACAGTATCCAAAAAAATTCATTCGATTTTCCGGCTTACAGTAACCCTCCAGCAGAAGACTTGCCAGGTCAAGTTCCACCCCCGCAATGTCGATACCGTTTGAAAACCCCTGACGGTGTGGAGATCCGAAATACGAATGTCCAGGTCGGAGATGTGGTTCGACACGAATGGAGTTGCGACACGCCATTAACAGGTTAGTTTGCAAGAGCACACGCGTCCAGCTTGTTCTAAATTCGACTGCCGCGTAGTGGAAAATCGGGCTTATGGCGCAAGTCCTTTTTGGCAGTTTTTCAAGCTGAGCGAAATAGCCGTAACTCCAGAGAGGCCAGTAACAAGGGGTAATCTCGCGTAATTTGGCTCCTAGCGCAAAAATCATGAATTCCATTCCATCACATTCCGTACAGCGGAATCTTGCGTAGCGGAGCATAACGAGAGGAAAAGCATGAAGCAGATAAACTGGGTGTACAGAGGACACACTCGTAGTGTCGTGTAAATGGGAGCCTGGCGGAAAACTTAGGTAAAGAGAGGCAGGGGTAAACTGGAGTATAGCGTAAGTTTGGCTCGATGAAAAGCCGAAATCACCTAATCCGAGCGTATAGAAGAACCTCGCGTAGGAATTCCGGAATTCGCAAATATGCAAAACAGCAATAAGCGCACGAAATCCAACCGTAAAGAGGAATCTAGTGTAGTCAAGACCAAATCTTGCAAATCCATTTAGAGATGTTCGGGCTCCACGTCCATTCGTGCTACGTCGAAGACGGAAAGGGCGATCGCCAGTTGTTGATCGATGAGAAAGGGTAAGAAAAACGATTTTAAAGGGGCAGTGACGTGTAGCTTTGCCGAATCCACGGTCCACCTAACATTTTCAGATGCTCGGTCGACACTGACGTCATCCCAAACCCCACCTACTCTCCTCATCCCTCCTCGCCCAGGTCGACGCGTTCGTCTTCAAATTCCCCGACCGGGAGACGCTCGACTTCCAGTGCAGCATGTCACTGTGCACACATACGGACAACAGCTGCGACGGGCTTACGGTATGCTAGATATGAAAATTTTAAACGTTTTAATCTTAGTCAAAAACTTTGTATAGTTTAGAATCCAAATTTCAGCCCCCAGTCTGCGGCGGTACTTCTGTAAGCAGAGTCCGGCGCCAGACTACAAATTCTACGCGTCGAACCCCGGAATGGACGTTACACTCCCCAACGTTGACGGTGGTTGACATTGACAACAATATGGACCGGACTTGTGAGTTTTTATCGACTTTAATTTTGGTTGAAACTTTTTTACGAAAGTTTAAAATGAAAAAGTTTTAAAAATTGAAAACTTAAATTTTTAAGGTCATTTAAAGTCGATACTCAACCTTAATTTGTAACTTCCAGCCCGAATATTAGTAGCTTATCCTTTTCTTCCTATAAAAAAAGATTGTATAATTTAGCTTTTTAAACGTCATTCTTTCGCTAAATATATAAAATTATTATTAGAGAAAATCCATTGAAATAAGAAAACTTATTGCGCGAAGTACGTCTACTAAATCTCCAAAAGAGTACTAAAAATCATGTGAAAATAAGAATTTTTCCATAATTCAGTTAAACAAAAATCAAATAATTCAATTGAAACTACCATCAATAGTTCTAGGCTTTTACAACGCCAAAAATTGGTCAAAATTAATAAATTATCCTCAAAATTCCAGCGCCATCCGCCTGGGCCCTACCCCCGCCCGTCGTGGCCCCATCCGAGATGTGCCTGTCCATAGGCGCATTCGGAGTGCTAATCTCGGCTTCAACATTCCTGGCCACAATCTCCATCGGCGCCATCATTGCCTTCATCTTCTATAGAAAACAAACCACCTACTAATGAGTAATAAGCCTGTTTCCACGACAATCCTATCTACCTACAAACCCTTCCTATTGACACCTAGTTAAAATTTGCCTATGCCGTGTTTGTCTTTACCAAAAATCGGGTATACTTCTATGTTCAATTTATCGCCTAAAACCGCTTTTAAAATTTGCATTTACTTCCGCTTTTTGTTGTGATCCGCCCAGCTTGTGATACGGTATACCTTGATGGCTTTATCCATTTATCGGGAAAATTTCACTTTACGGTATGGTCCCAAAATTTCGATTTTTAGACTGGAATCGATCCAGCTCGATGAGTTTGTGCGTTTCCAGTTGAAAAAACGATTGGGAAACGCTTCTGGACAAAGTTATAAGCTTTTGAAAATAGCTAATTCACTTTACGGTATGCGAACAAAACCTCAATTTTTGAACAGGAAACGATAAAGCTCGATGAGATAACGCGTTTTCAGTTGAAAAAACAATTGGGAAATTTCAAATAAGAAAGTTATGACGTTTCAAAGATATTTTTGCTAAGGACTGTAGGCTACGCAACACTCCTATCCCCGCATTCTAGCGCGTGCGCTCTCAGCCAGCGCTTACGTACTTATCTAAAAGCATTTATAATTTTTGAAACTAGTATTTTAAGCATAGAATAGATAAATAACAGTTAGTTGTGGCCTCCAACATTGTCAGGCAAGGCGGGCCGTCGCTTCGGATGGGCTGCCGCTCCACTCTTCCGAAATCGGGGCGCCTGGCCGCTACGCGCGCCTCGGGCGCCCCGATTTCGAAACCCTGTACGAGCTCGCACCCATCCGAAGCGACTAGGCCCCGGGTGGCACGAAGCCTTATTTTTAGGCTTAAATTGGGTATTCAGCTAGCCAGCCCCTTCAAAAAGGCCAATATTTTGGACAATTTTCAAAAGCTAATAACTTTGTTCAGAAGCGTTTCCCAATCGTTTTTTCAACTGAAAACACACGAACTCGTCGAGATACATCGATTCCAGACGAAAAAATGGCATTCTGAGAACATACCGTAAAGTGAAATTTAGCCCATTTATCTACGCTTTGTTTCGTTTTAATCTTATTTATTCTGCACGTACGCATTAATGAATTCAACTAATCACAGGGTTCTTTAGGATTCCCGGGGGGGGAAAGTATTCCCGGGGGGGGAAAACAAATTTTTTTCGGCGAAAGCCTAGATTTTTGTATAAATTGCGGATGCGTTTCTAAATTGTTTTTAACTATCCCTGTGCATAAAAACTACACACATTTTAACCAAAAAAAATGTAAAAAATTAAAAATTAGGTCGAAAAATAGACCCAAAATGACCAAATTTTCGACTTTTTCAAACATTTTTCTAAATTTTTCTGAAAGTTATTCTGCTTTAAATATAGTTAAAACTTACTAAAAACAATTCGAAAACACTTTATATTTGATTACTAGGTCAACCGGGACCACCAGGAAAAAATTGGTTTCCCCGAATACTTTCCCCCCGGGAATCCTAAAGAACCAATCACAGAATTGTTGTTCACGCATAAAAAGTCACAGATTGTTCGAAATCACAGATTTGGCAATGTTATAAGGTGTACAAAGTATAAGGTATAAGTAATCTAAAAAATTCTATTCCGAGCGCCCAAAGTGGAGAATCTTTCGAATCGTCGTTGGGCCGTTCCAGAGACCCTAAAAATCAATATTTCCGTTTTTTAAAAATACACTACCTTCACCAAACCATGCCAGTACAGCGGTTGCATGATATGGCGCTTCATAAAGTACGAGATTCCGCGCGGGACCGCTTGATTGATGGGGAGCGTTTCGAGAGGACCTAAAATTTACAATTTCAAATCTTTTAACATGGATTTTCAACCTTTCGGGGTGAACTCGGCGAGGATGACCTTCTTCCCTCCGACGAGCAACGGGCAGGACGCATAGCCATCGTACTAAAAAAATAATTTGCATTACTGGGAGGAGGCTAATTTCTTTCTTGACGTCCAAATATACGCCGTGATGAATATCTAGTGTTTTTAAAGTTTAATCAAAATTCATTTTTATTTCAAGTAAACCTCTCAATATTAGCAATTTTCTAAAAATCGGAATTGAATGGAATCAATGGAAAATGGGATTTTCATATATTCCAAATTGGGAAAATTGGGAAAACTACGTGAAAATAAACTTACACTTCCGGTCAGCGGCTTGCCAGCCATCACTGCCTTCAGGTTCTTCTCCAGCGCGCCAAGTTGCCCGGCTAAAAAAAGTAATTTCTTCAAGCTTCATCAGAAAACTCACAAACTGCAGCGGCCGTCTTGGCATTCGGTGTGTTGGCGGTGTCGCCGACAGCAAACACATTGACAAAGCGACGAGACTAAAAAAGGCTTAATAAAACGTCCAGAGCTCTATATACTTGTAACGTATTCGGATCGACATCAACGAAGCCAGTGGCGTCAACCAGGGCTTTACAGTCGCTGACAGCAGGCACCGGGCGGCATGGTGGGCCGACGTGAAGGAAGGAATACTCAAAAATTCCATAACTTTTAAACTTAAATCTAAATACCTCGCTCTCTTCAGTTTCACCACTCGGCTTCCCCTCTTCGTTGAAAATATCAAAAATGGCTGTCTAAAAACATACAAACAATTACGCAAAATCAGCAAAAAATGTACCTTTTTATCCAGTCGAACTTCTTTCAACACTCTCCTTGGATGCAGCCGGATATCCTTTTCTTCGACGATCTTTTGCAACGCTACGGCATATTTTTCGATTCCGAAAATCTGGATAAACACAAAATTAATCACTCTTATACTTCCATACCTTTGGCAACGAGGTATAATAGTGAAGCTCAGCCTTTCCACGAATACCGCGATTCCTTAAAACATTTTTAACTTAATAAAGGCCAAAAGTTACCGGAAAATCTCGTCGGCAAGATACATAATTTTCTGCGGCGCACCTGCACACTTTATCGGGCCGGCCGGGAAAGTAAACAGCGCTTTGCCACCCTAAAATTCCTTTAGAAGCCAGATGTACGATACCTTGAAAGCCTCAATTTCTCGGTTAGTTTTCTCTGCAAAATGCGGTATATAAATGCTGCACACACCGCTGCCCTCCATCGATAGCGCTTCCGGCAATCCTTTTATCTGAAAAAACGTTAAAAAGAGGATATTTTTGACCAACCAAATCATAACGCGGTCGAATCCCTGTTGCTACAATCAAATAATCGTAAGTTAGGCTTTCACCATTCCTAAAAAACTTCCATTTAATTTTAACAAAACCCAACTCACTCTAATAAAACCGTATTCTGCTCCGGATCCAACGTTTTGGCCGCATTTTTATACCATTTGGTGTTGGAAGGGATTAGGTCAATCTAAAATCGACCAATTTTAGTAAAAAAAACGGTCTAAATACCTCGCTCCTCGTATTATCGGTCAGCTTCAATTCGCCGGAGCCAACGAACGTAAAGCCAGGCTGGTAGTAGTGGAACTAAAAAACAAATTTTAACGATATAAAGAGTAGATGCATACCTCGCTGGGCTCGATGATCGCGATCGAATTTTTCGGGAGCTTACGAGCGAATTTCGACGCAGCTCCAAGCCCGCCAGCTCCGCCGCCAACGACGACGAGGCGGTAATGGGCTAAAAATGGTGATTCAAAACTAAATAAAAAGTTACCTAAGTTGATTGCCGAGATTCGCATGCTTCTGATTAGTTCGTTAGGTCCTTACCTGAAAAATGAATATATTAAAAAGCTAGACCATTTAGAAGACCAGAAACCACAAATATACTTAGGGTTCGAGGCTTTAAAGACGTCAGGAACGTCGTGATAACCTTACATTTTATTATTTTCTTTTGTGTCTAAGCTTAGAACGAATAAATCTATGTTTTAAAAAGATTTGGCGCAAAACAAGTTTTATGGAGCCGCTTCTTGAAATAAAAGCCATGTTTAAAAAATAAACCATATTAAAAATAGATGAAACTCAACAATTCACAGCAACAGAAACTGTAGATTTTAGGGCAGATGAGGTAAAAGAAAAACAATTTTTACGACGAATCTTTCTTTCCAATCAATCAAATCCCAAGAGAAAAATAAAACAAGTTCGCAACCGCAAACTGCCCATTTTCACGGCCGCCAATTGACAACAATTGCATCGGGTGGAAGTGTGCCCTGGGAAAACAGAACAAACGCGGTCGTGAGAGAGGTGGGGAGCGGCCGGTCAGTCCTGCCTGGCTGGCCGTCCATTTTCACGACCTCCCCAGAAAGAGACGTGCAAAAATAGCCAGGAAACGTGCAGTTCAACGGCTAGCCAAGGCCCTACAACCGTTTTTTTGGCTGTCCCCGGGGCGCTATCGCGAATTCCTGGCGTTGTTTCTGTGGTTGGCCCGGAATTGATTTTTCTAGAAACACGAACGCCTCCCGGCAGAAAATTTATGGAAGTTATGTGTGCTGAACCTCTTTGAGCAAATATTTATCAATTAAAATAAGGATATTTGTAAAGAAGGTTGGCTCAAGCCATTGCTGCAGTCCTGAAAAAGAATTGATTCTTTTCCGCCTTTCTTCGTTTCGTTTACCTGGAAAGTGTAGCGACAAGAATGATGCCGAAAAGCACTTCAAGGATTATTAGTGCACCCTCGATGCAGATAAAGACTTCCTCAATGAGCAGGATGTAGTTCTAAATAGTTAATAGAATTGCAAGATTTCTAGTTATCTTTTTTTACCTGAAAAATGCCCAAGTAAATACAGATCAACAAACTCGGGATGCTCAGGCCGAGGGAAAGCGATACAAACGCCGGGGTTTCCGTTAGATTGCCACGCGCAGCTTAAAAATGTTATTTTGTTTTTTTGTTAACACTTACCCCAGCTCAACCGCACCGCCTCGATCGGGATGAAGAAGAGGAGGATCAGAAATTCGAGTACCCGGACGTGATTTGGGTACGGCAAGACATATCCTGAAAATAATGCCGATATACGTCAAGTATCCAACTTACCAACTACCTAAAACTTTTATCACTACCTTTATAAACGTAGAACGCGGCTAGGACGACCCAGAAGCAGACGGCATACGGCTTATTGATATGGACGAGGACTTGGTAGGGAAGGGAAGAGCGCTAAATTTTGTGTTAAACGGATTAAACTGTGAGAAACTTACCACTTGTGCGTTCATGTTCGGGATTAACTTCGTTATGGCCGTAAAACGGAGGCCCAGCTTTACGCTTGCGCATCTCCATGGCAACAGGGGTCAGCTGGTCAGGAGAGGCGGATCAGATCATAGAAATGAAAAACCCTAGTTTTTTTGGGCTTTAAATACTTTTATTATAAAGTTAGACCATTTTTTTTAGAAAAACCAGTTTTAATTTTGTATTTTGTTTATTTACTAAAAAAATGTTCCGTTCGAACCTCCGCCCGGCTATTCCGTCGATAGGAGCCCGATGGAGCCGCCAATTTACGGTCGAATCGGGTCAGCGGCGGGTCATCGACTTCTCTTCTAAAATCCTCAAAAATGAAAAATTACCGTGGTAAAATGAATTTATTAATTTTAGATTTACTAACATTATATTCACAACCTTAATCCTTTTCGGATACCTCGTTACATTCATGTATTAACGACTAACAGCACGTTTTCCTAATTGGAATGCTTTTTCACGTGTGCAGTGTGGTGGTGTTTCCGTGGTTGTTTCTGTGAATTGTGCACGGTCCAGTGTCCCTTTTCTAGGATGTTTTCAAGCCTGAACCCCTCGTGGACGCCGCCAGCTTCGGCGTGGGGCGAAATGAACACCTGGAGGCGGCCCGCATACCAAGCCCAATGGAGCATGCCGCCGTCGAGCACGAGGAACTACGACTACACGGGATCTTGGGGGCTTCAGGAAATTGTTTATCAGGTGTTTGTTATGGGTAACCCGTGATTAACGCCCGTTCGGGTCTTATCGAGTCTCCTGTAAATATCGCCCTTGAAACCTTGACATAACCCGGAAACGCCTTGCAAGAGGGATTTCCCCTAGCCAAGATCATTTTTCGAGGCGTTTATTTCATGAGGCGCGAAAGGCTGTTAAAAACGGGTTACCTTTACCCTGTTACTTGTTTTGTAACATGTTAAAACTTGGTGTGCTAGGGGGTTGTTTCATTTTTTGCGGCTTACATTGGGAGCTTTTTGCAAGATGCAATCGTTCTTTTTCCATGTTATTCAATTTCCTCAACCTTTTTTATTAAAGCCTTTTAATCTTTGCCCTAACTCGTTATTCAGGTTGAATACCAAACGCCGCACTACCGCCAAGCCAGCGGAAACGTTTTCCACCTGAATCGGGCTGGTAGAGTCGGATCTCTTTGTTAGTGTATGCTTTTTTTAGTTACACCAATCGTCAACGAGGAAAAGCAGCCGAGGGCCAAGAAGGCCAAGAAGAGGAGGCGAAGAAAACCTGGTACGTCTTCATTTTCTGATTTTACCTGAATAATTTAGCAAAGATGAACTTCAACGGCCGTGGTGGTTACAACGGGTACGGCGGACGCGGAAGGGGCTCGTTCCCAAGGAAACAATTCTTCCGCAAGCGCGACAACCAGCAAGATGACATTCCGGTGAGAGAAACTAAAAACTTGTGATTTTCGTTTAGTATTCGGCGGTTCCTGAGGGCGAGCCCTTCAGCACGTTTCCGATCAAGTTCGACAATATCGTGTGCTTCCACGGCTTCCAGAGCATTTTCACCACTCAGCACATGGTATTTTCAATTTTTATCGTAATTTTTAAGCATTAGATAGTTTTCTAATATGTTAAAGTTTTAGCGTAGATCTTAGAAGTCCAGCAAGTTCTAGTTTGCTGGTTTTTGACGTCGTCGTCGTCGTTTTTGAAACGTTTAAAAAGTTTTTATTCGGTTTAGTAGTTTTTGGGATAGAGTGCTAAAAGTTTAAGATTCTTTTAGTTCCCCGTCCTGATCGATGGCAGAATCTACGAGTCGTGCGATCACTACTACCAAATCGAGAAGACGCAGCAGCTGTGCGGAAAGACCAGCGACAAGATGACGGCCACGGTCCGGGATTCGACGGGAAAACGGCTGGATGGACAGGTAAAAATGTCAATCTGTTTTAATAAGTTTTCTAGACCGGCTTCCGTTCGCACGAAGAGAAGGGATACAGCGCTCTGGCCAAGGATATGATTCGAGAGCAGGGCGTAAGTGTGATGTTTTTGGTTAGTAATTTCCTGATTGCCTAGATCACAAAAGAAGTCGTCGAGGATTGGCGCCGAACCAAGGGTCTGGCCGCAATTCAGGTATTTTTCACTTGCCTTTTGCTAAACTTCATCTTAGAAAGCTCTTTCCGCAAAGGTCAGCCAATGCGAGCAGATGCGCACCGCGCTGCGGAACACTGGCGACAAAATCCTGGTACACGCCTACGCGGGTGATGCCATATACGGTGCTGGCACTAGGTAATCTTTTTGATGGTTTCGTCAAAAATGTCTGTTTTTCTAGGCTTCCAGGCATCAAGGCTTGGTGCGATGAGCAGCAAAAGACGCAGAATGTGTTGACGGTATGTTGTATTATCTTGTACAAATTTTGCGTGTTTTTAGCTCCCAATGCGCTTCCCGCTAGACAACGAGACTGTGCAGCAGTGCCCCGCTACCGGCAAGGGCCGCAACGTGCTCGGCGTCATCCTGATGCAGCTTCGTTACCTGGTGAGTTTTATATTTTTTTGTTTCGGACCATTTTACCCAAATATTCTCCCGTAAAATCAAGTCCTGTCGATAAAAAAATAAGCTTAGCAGCGTTTTTGTAGAATTTAGCTATATTTAACCTGAAAAACGATCTGGAAACCTGGAAAAGTCTAAAAAAAATTGAGATTATGTTCGCAAATCCCCCATTTTAGATCGAAAAGCTACGTTTTCTTAATTTTGAAAATGTGTAAGTTTTTTACGTTTAGAAAAAGTAAAGAAGGTTTAGAACCGCTTCTCTTTTGTTATTAGTGAAAAAATGGGTCCTGAGGCAAGGAATTTGTACTCCCCGGATACGAAAGATCCAATTTAATTTTATTTTTCAGTTGATCCGTTCTCAAATCGAAGAGGTCGATCTCTCGTCCGTGTTTGACGGTCTCGCCGTGCCAACCGGTGCGTCGGCCGTCGACACCAAGGAGATTCTCGACGACCCGATGGAGGGCTTCAACATCGGCGGCGGTACAATTCAGGTAGAACCTTTTCTACTTAAAAAAATTAATTTTTTTTCAGCAGCCGATCCTCGCCTAAGCCCCGGCCGCCGCACCGCGCGCCTACAGCCGTGATCGGAATTTCGTTCTATTTATTGCTGCGCCCTAATTATTTTTGGGGTTCACCGGCCCGTCTCACCCACATTCGTTCGTCGCATTGTTTTGTCCCCCTGTGCTTTTGTTGGTCTTCCGGGGGCCAGGGTGTCAAGATGGCTGCTGCCCAATTCAAGCTGTTTTGTATAGCCCTCACCCCCACCATTCCCCCCCCGTTTTCTTGTTGAAATCGCCCCGACCTCGACCCCCTCGTCATTCTCAACTTTTTACCGTTTGCAAGTTTTAAAATAAATTTTACATGTTTATAGAGAAATTTTCAGGGTTTAAAAGTGGCTCTGAAGGCTTCAGCCAGACGATGACGGCCGGTCAAGAAACGCATAACTCACAGAAATGATGTGCGCGTCAACGAGTTAGGTGTATCTCGGCAACGCGCCCATCTTCCGCGCCACTACGCGCGCATTTTCTAAGGCTATTTTCGCGCGGCTTATTTTACTATTTTTGGTCAAGCTTCCTAGACGAAGGCACGATCCGACTTTTGACTACAAAATGCTTCAATATACGTTTTTCAAAACTGTAGAACAGTGTAAAATCCAAGCTAACAAGCTCGCTGAAGTAAGTTTGAGCGAAGCTTTAGTGAAACCAAGCACAAGCACGTCACGCTTAGTTTGATGACTTTTTAAACGCCCGTTTTGAGTTTCCGGGACGAACGAATGCTCATATAAGGTAAGAATATATATGATGGTATATGTCGGCTACGCGCGGGGGACAATTTTACGCGGGGGACGGGACAGGCAGGCTTTTTGGAGGTTTTCGTTATTTTCTCGGAATTTTTGCGACGGCATTCGATAGAGCATCGAAAAATATACTAAGAGTTTTTGTTTTAGCTGAAATTAGTGTAATATAAAAAAGTTACGGCAAATACAAAAATAAGCTTTGAAAATCGGGTTGAGCGGCTGTTTTTCGACATTCGCGCTATTTTTTCGACATTTTAAAGATGCCATTCGATAGAGCATCCAAAAATACACCAAGAGTTTTAATTTTAGCTCAAAATAATGTAATATAAAATAGTTATAACAAAACCAAGTATTAAACGTTGTTTCGATGGAGGATTTCGATGGAGGATCAAGTTTTCGACATTTTCGACATTTTTACAAAATTTCTTTAGTGCCATTCGACAGAGCGTCAAAAAATATACTAAGAGTTTTGTTTGTAGCAAAAAGAAACGCAAAAAAAATAGTTAGCTCGGCCCCAACAGTCCGTCCCCCCGCGTAAAATTCCCCCCGCGTAGCCGACATATACCATATATGATTTTTTAAGCCTTGAAGTTTAGTATAGTTAAAGCTAGTTAAGCCTAGGCTTAATCCAAAAGCCAAGTAATTTAAGCGAAACGTCACGCAAACCATTGCCAAGTAAAGCCCGCCCCCAAATGGTCACCGAAAATTTCTGGAGCCATTTCCGGCGATGACGACACAGCACTAACACGTGGTTACGTTGTGTGCGGTCCCCTCTATATCCCGGGCTTTAGAGTACGACGAGTCGAGGCAGAATCCAAATCATCATCTTCCTCCTCCTCGTCCTTCTGTCTGTTTAGCGGTATACGTCGGTCGACGACGACGATTGTTGACGTCGTCAGATATTGGATGGCTTTTGGGGGGATGGGGTGGTGGCCACGGCTGTTTGCCCACCGCTTCATTTCCACGCCAAAGTCGCGCCCGGGAATATTGCACTTGGGGTAGCGCCTAGCCATCAGCATACGGTACCGCGGGTTTTCGTTGGCGTAGCATTCTAGCATTACTACCCGGGATTCTAGGGACAGTTTTGGGGGTTTAGAAGGCAAAAACGCACGGTTCCCAGGTTTATTGGCATGCTTTTGGTCTCTAAAACGCCTGTTCTTTTTTTAACGTTTTTCCCGTTTAATTTTTACCGGTTACTAGTTTCTTATCGGGGGGTCCAACACTTTTTTTGTATCCATTTTTCCGCATGCAAACGGATGCGGTTTCTAAAATAAGGTTTCTAAAGATAGTTCACTATTTCGAAGGTAAACCCTTCATTTTTCCAAGCGGACGAATTAGGTCATCCGTGGACAGAATATGCCGCATCCGTCCAGAAGCCCCAAATGAAGATTGAAGCTTTTTAGAAACTTTAGAGCGACGATAACCCCCGATAATGCGAAAGAGCGGATTATTACGATACAAAGTGACAAATTTGTCTACAAAATACCGGGGTATAGCACAGAGCAATCGGTGCGACATGTGCTCTTTCTAAGTGAACGAACTACGCCGTCCGTGGACAGTCAAGCCTGATAGGTGTGCTTCGTACCAACTTTGTCGGGTCCGGTTTGATAAAAAAATTGGATGGCGTGTTATAGCGTTATTAGACCGGATTTCGGGAAAAATGGATTTAGACGACTTTTTGATGGCATTTTCCACCCTTGAAATGGTATGAAAATTTTTTGCCCTCCAAAGGCCATTTTTGATGCCCCCGGCGGCAATCCGTTTCGATAGGTCGGTCATCTCCTCCAACCCGTCCAAAGGCTAATACGATTAGCGATGGTGGTGGCAACGTGGGCGATGGGATTTTTGGGGGAGGAGAAGAACGGCTGCAGATGGCCCTCTTCTGGAGGTGAACGCCCCCACGTTGCTGGATGTGCTGTTTGGGGTGTTTTCTGGTTTTTTGGACTTTTGATGGGTTATCAGGAACTTTAAATTTTCCGAAATTTAGTTTTTAAGACGGTTATAGCGACAGAAATAAGGGCGTTAGTTTCCAGATTTCTCTTTTTTTTGATGGATGCGTTTTGGATAGGCCGTGTTGGTGTTGATCAACATTCTCGCTCTCGGGCCATTATCTGAGCGCAAAGGACGCTTTTTCACTTTTTCTTATTGAAATGAAAAAACTGTTGCATCGATCTCGCTTTTAAAATGTACAAAAATTCATTATTTCTTGTTTTGGCGTTTCAAAAAGTCTAGCATGCTTACCCTAGAACGCATAGCGGATCAAAATTAATAGTTTTTAAGTTAAATTTCAGCTCGGTTTTAGCATTGTAATTTGCCATAAGAGACCAGAATCAAGGGTTAGCTTATTAAAAAAAATAGTTTAATAGTTTTAATCGAAATGAATATCGACAAACTAAAAAAGAATTATCTAGCTTTAAAAAGCCGTTATATTACATACTTTAAACGAATTTTCGGGCAGCAATCTCGTCCAGAAAACCGGCTTTTCACTGCCTAACTAACGACCCCTAGCTGCCAAATCGTCAGACTACAATAAATAATAACAGCTCGGTTTGAGCATTGTAATTTGCCATAAGAGACCAGAATCAAGGGTTAGCTTATTAAAAAATAGGTTAATAGTTTTTAATCGAAATGAATATCGACAAACTAAAAAAGAATTATCTAGCTTTATAAAGCCGTTATATTACATACTTTAAAGGGGCTCAGAAGTCAAAATTCGTGCGTGCGTGGATTGAACCTACTGGTCAAAAAACGCAAGGGACACTGCCGAGAAGTGCCAGAAAAGTGATTTCATTGCGAAAAAACGTAAAATATTTGAGAAAATCCGAATTCTTTTTGGGGTGAAAACGACATTTTGAGTGCGCGGCGATTACCTGTCGTAATGCCTTGTAAGGCACCCAATCTCTCGATCTCGGCGATTCTCTGGTCAATTTTCATAAATTAAAAGTCTAGAATGATCAAAATTTGATGAAGATTCCAAAAATAGCATCAGAATTTTTAAATTCTAGCGTTTTCGCGTCCAAACAGGGGCAAAAGACCATGCGGCGCGGTCGCGTTGCGGCCGCATCTGGCTATTTGCCAGAAATCACAGCAGGGGGCCGTGGACCAGATTTCGGAGCCCCTTTAAACGAATTTTCGGGCAGGAATCTCGTCCAGAAAACCGGCTTTTCACTGCCTAATTAATGACCCCTAGCTGCCAAATCGTCAGACTACAATACACCCCGCTTTACACCTGAAAGCAACACGCCATCACATATATTCTAATATTCACCACGCTTTTTTCGCCTGACGATTTCAATAGGGGAGAGCGGAAATGAGATAATGTGAGGGAGGAAAGAAGGATAAAAAAGTAGCTCGGCGGTGGGGCTTGGCTTCGGATAATGGGGGCCGATGAGGAGGGCATGCTTTTGCCCCGACTTTCGATAATAATAATCGAGAGAGGGAGTCTCAACGTTCACGGCATAGCTTTCAAGGTTCACTAATCTTCGATTTTCACAGTAGTGCAGAATTTTACTTCACTATACTTCGTTTTGATTTTAAAAAGCTGAAAAACGACTTTAGCTGCACTATCAAGTTGTAGTGAAGTGGTTGCGTGATTGTTTCCCACCCAAATGACCAGAGTTCGGCTCCTGGCCGTGACTAAGTTTTTTCTTTTGCTTTTTGAAAAACAACTTGCAGCGTTGGCTTGGCGTCGAAAGCGTAGCTTAGGCTTCGCTTAGGATTAACCTTGGCTCTTAGAGTCGTGGGCTTGCTCAGCTTTACTTGGCTTAGGCTTTCTAAGTTTTCCTAGGTTCAGGCTTATCCTTAGGCTGAAACTCAGGCCTAGGCTTAGGCCTAGGCTAGGTGGGTTTTACCCAAAGCCCAAGCCAGCCCTTCCCTTCCTGACCCCTTTATCCCGATCATCAACGCTTACCCTCAACGCCGTTTAGACGCGGAATGAAATCGTAATTAGGTAGCGGCCCGTCACGCCCTCCAGCTCCCTTGAGATTTTTTGGGGTTCCGGATTTCAGTCTGGCTGATTTAGGTTAATTTTTTCCTTGTTAAATCTTTAGTATCATTCCTATTGACTTTCTTAATATATTCTAACGTTTTGTTTGGCTTTAAAAGCCATTTTCGACTGTATTGAGCAACTAAAATATGATGATTATTCTTATTTACTTTCTTAGCATATTCTACCGCCCTTCCCCCAGATTCGAAAGCCATTTTTGATTATTTTGGGCGGATTCCAGAGGTGTTGTCTCGCCCGCGTTAC